ACAACAACAATACTGAGTTTTTAAGTTTCTTCAATAACATAGTAACAAATGCTACGAAGGCTTTAAATTAACTTGTAAGGAAAGTACTAATATGTTTCACTTAACATAACCTGCAAGGACTGCAGTCTTTCAGATGGTAGCACCATGGAGGGGACACTAGCATTGTTTGCACAGGGCTTTGCACATAATGCAACCAAAGCTCCTGTTTTTGTGGAGTCTGTGACGACTCAATATGCAGCTGAGCAGAACTGTACTATAAAGAGTTTTCAGGGGAGCAGTGTGGCTCCATACAACAAGCACTGAACCGTCAATCACAAGGTCCCAAGGCAATTTAAAGCCTTGAAAACCCTAAATGAATCAGAACCAACTTAACAACACTTAACAAGAAGAAGAGAAAATTGACTAACAACGGCTCATATTTATTTCATGCTTACAAATGTCAGTGCCTTCTAAGGCACATATACTGTTGATTTTCATAACAATCCTGTAACATAGATAATGTTAGCATTATACCCATTTTGTAAATGTGTAAACTGAGACATCTAGAGTTTAGGTGGTTTTCTCAAAGCCACCCAACTATCAAGTGTTCAATCCAGGATTTACATCCAGCTTTTGTTCTTGGCAATTGTACTCTATTGACTCTTTTTCCCTGAAAATAAACTGTTCAGAGGTGAATGCAAAGTAAAATATTCTCAGATTTTCTAATCCTACAATAGTATACTGCTCATGTATGCTGTTTAGTAAAAAGAATATATATAAATTTGAAAGCATGACCTTTATAGGAGAAGGGAGTCAAAATAGCATGGAATTTAAAAGTAGTGGGCATTTTGGCATAAAAGGTATTGACAAGTAAGCATAAAGCTACCATTAAAACACTTCTATAGATATAAATTTTCTTTATAAATAATAATTACCTCAACTTCTGGTCTGGTGTTGTACGGTCAGCCCTGAACTAAGAACTACAAGGTCAACAGTTGAAACCCACTAGCTGCTCCTTGCAAATCCTATACAGGATTGCTCTGAGTCAGATCGGACTCGATGACAGTTAACAACAACAACAATAATTACATATCATCAAAAGAGGGGAAAATAATGATGTATTTATTTTATCATTCAGAACTGGGAAAGGAAAAGAAATAAAATGAAAAGAAGCAAGATCTAAGGATTTTCTTTTGTATGGGTGAAGGTCATAATTCTTAAAATCGATATAAGAGAAATTTAGTTCTTTTTAAATCTATAATTAACCTCATTTCATTGCCAACATATGCATGCCTTTCAACTACATAATAATTATGAGAAAAGATGAAAACATCTAATTACATGTTGTCCATAAGTGATGACTAACCAGAAAAATAAAAAGGGTGGATTAAGGCATACTATATAAATGCACGAAAGCAGCAGTCAAGAAATCAAACGACGTATTGCATTAGACAAATCTGCTGCACAAGACCTTTATAAAAGTGTTGAAGAGCAAAGACGTCAGTTTGAGGACTAAGGTGCACCTGACCCAAGCCATGGTATTTTCAATAGCCTCATATGCATGCGAAAGCTGGATAGTAAATAAGGAAGACCATAGAAGAATTGATGCATTTGAGTTATGGTGTTGGAGGGGAATATTGAAAGTGCCATGGGCTGCCAAAACAACCAAAAGATCTGTGTTTGAATAAGTGCAGCCATAGTGCTCCTTGGAGGCCAGGATGGCCAAACTTCATGTCTCATACTTCAGACATATTGTCAGGAGGCACCAGTCACTGGAGAAGGATATCATGTTTGGTGGAGGGTCAGATAAAAAGAGGAAGACCCCCCAATGAGATGGATTGGCCAGGTGGCAGCATCAGTGGACTCAAGCGTGGCAACAATAGTGAGGTTGGCTCAGGTTCGGGCAGAGTTTCGTTCTGCTGTGCATAGGGTTGCTATGAGTCGGTACCGACTCGATGGCACCTAACAACAACAACAACATAAATGCAAGAACAATGAAAGGAGGTACAGTGTTACTATTAAGAAAAGTAGAACTCAAGGCTAAAATGCTAAATGCAAAAGAGGAATATTTTTTTCTTTTCATGAAAGTTAAAATCAAGAGCAAACATTTAACAATTCTGGATATTTATCAGGTAGATACCGTATCTCCAAGTTATGTAAAGCAAAAACTGCTGGAAATGCTAGAAAATGGGAACAAAACAACAGTTATGCGATGCTTGGACATACCTCCTTAAGTTTTTTCCATAATGAAACAAAAAAAGGATATAGAAAGACTGATTGATATAATCTAGAAGATTGGTTTTCCAGATAATTGTGTTGGTTCCTCTTTCTCAGCAGCACAAGCAGAAATTGTTCAGTATGTGTTTTATGATCACAGTGCAGTAAAACTAGAAATTATTCCTAAAATAAAATTAAGCCTCTCACAAGGGAGGAAATATCAGAAATTCAAATAGTTTGGGGTCAAGGAAAAAGTGACTGTGAAAATATTGGAACCCACAAATGGCTTTTATAGGTAACCAGGTTCAAAGGATAGTCTCAAACAACAACTCCATTCTAACTACAATAAAACAATAAAATGCAAAATAGCAAACAGCAAATAAACGATATACGTAACTAAACTTTTAGGGATGCACACAAAAAGAAATAAGAAAGTTTATGTACAAATTATGATAGAATATTATGACAAATGGTAAATAGTTTTAAATATTTGAATGTTGTCGTTAAGTGCTGTCGAATCATTTCCAACACATAGCAATTCTGGTTAGGGTCTCTAAGGAGTGACTTGTGGGTTTGAACCACCAAGCTTGCAATTAGCAGTCCAGTGTTTATCCAACAGTGTCATCTTACCAAGATCCAAGTATTTGAATAGAGCACAAAGCATAAATGTGTTCATTAAAAAATTTTTTTTGGCTAAATTAAATGATAAGAATCTCTCCACATGTTAAAGATAATATTTTTTAAACTGGAAATAAACAATTAAATAATTCAGAAAAACAATATGAAGTACTGAAATATATTATACATTTAAAAAAAGATATTGGGGTGGGAAAGCCATTTGCCATAATATCAAATCCAGGAGTTATAAAAAAAAAAGATTAGACTTGATAAAAAAAAAATAGATTTTTTTTGTTTTAAAGTAATAGCAATAACAGCAAAAAACAAAGGTAAAATTAAAAGGAAAAATGGGAATCAGGAGAAATTTGCAAAATGTATCTGACAAAGGGCTTGATGCTCATACATAGAGTTCTTATAATGCAGAAAAAGAAAAAGACCAACAACAAAACAGAAGAATTCATGGAAATAAATAAACAAGAACAGTTTATAGTGGGAAATTCATAAAATGAAAGCTTGATTACTTATATTTAAAACTGTGTTTGATATTAATTTTCAATCATCAAGTTATCAAATGTCAAAAGAACTGATGAGAATTTTGATGGTCCTTGGGTAGTATAAACAGTTTTTCCTTGACAACCTTAAGGTTATGTGGTTCAAATCCATTAGAGGCACCTCAGAAGAAAGTCCTGGAAATCTGCTTCTCTAAAGGCCACTTTAGAGACAAACAAGAAAAACCTATGTTCTACTCTGGGTCTTCAGAGTCACTTGAGAGCAACTGGTTTGGTTTGGTGACATTTTTTATAATAATGCAAGGCCATAAGCCCAGTCATAATTATAAGTAAATGTTTTCATTGGAGACCTCTTTTATGGAGACCACTTAAAAAAAACATCTAAAACATTCATGCTTTTTGATCCAGAAGTTGCGATTCTATGAATTTATCCTAAGATTATAGTCAGAAGTAGACACAAAAATGATTGCAAGTGATATATAAAATAGCGCTATAATCACAAAAGACTAGAAATAATGCACTAGCCAACAATAGTCACTTGGTTAACCAAATTCTAGTAAAATTATATTTTATGCAGTTATTGAAGAGTCTTTTCTTAAATTTAATGGCATAGGAAAATAGTCACATTGTATTGCTAAATGAATAACATAGGATAGGAAAATACAGTAAAAATAGACTGAAAAGCACTTAGAAATTCAAGAAAATGACAGTTATTCTCAGTGGTCAAACTGAGTAATTTTTTATTTCTTCTTTTGCACTTTCTATCTTTTTTGAACTTTAGGCAATGCATTTTTTTCATATTTAGGGAAAATATAATGTAATATTTTTTAAAAACTTTATTTCTTTTCTTCATTAAAATTCTAAAATTATAATACATTATAGTCTTGGTATTTTGAAGTAATATTTAAGTAACCTTTATCATATAAGCAGAAAGGTATGTTTCTAAGAAATTCTGTTTGAGATTATTGCGTCTTGCTGCTAATGTGAGAGAACTGACAATTACCTTTGCCTTTAGCGGTAATTTACACAGAGTGGGAAAGGAGAGCGGCCCTAAGGGATGAGGGTTACACGGGTAGAGGAAACAGAGTGATGTGTGACACTACTGACGAGAGAGATTCTGCATGCACAGTCCTCTTTTACTATGGGTGGAACACTAGGCTAGACACATGCCAAGTTCTTGCTTTTAAGTTTCTATTTCAGAAGAACATCTGAGAAAAACATGACCTAGTGAGGCATTTTGGTTTCACGTCTAATAAATTCTTGATGCTTAGGCCAGGGTCTATTCTTCCTCAATCAAAATGGGCAACAATTATCCAAGTTCTCATCTACTTCCAAAGTCTTAAACTTCCAGGGGCAAGCCAGCAGACATGAGCAAGTGGTGATTACAGTACAGGAACAGAGTGACTACAGACTTCACTGTCAATTCTGAGTGAGTTGGAATTTTCAGATGATGCTAGTACCGTTTGGCTTCTTAGAATAGTCTTTTGGTTCCATAGCTGCTAATTACTTATTTTAATTATTATTATTATTTATGATGTAAACCATATTTCTTTCTAGCTTGTGAACTATTTGGAAAAAATATTTTTGTTGCTAAGTACTGTCGAGTAGGTTCCAACTCATAGCGACCTTGTATAGGGTTTCTGAGGATCCGCTTGTGGTTTTGAACTGCTGAACTTGTGGTTAGCAGTCCAGTGCTTATCCTATAGTTCCACACCAGTACCCCAGATGTCTTCTTAGCACTAATGAAATAAAGCCTCCTGTTGTTATTGTTGTTGTTAAGTGCCGTCAAGTCAGTTCCGACCCATAGTGACCCTGTATAGGGTTTCCAAGGAGCAGCTGGTGAGCTTGAACCACCAACCTTGCAGTTCAAACAGCTTTACAGTCTGTTTATTAACCCACAGTGCCACACCAGGACACCTGTACTGGTGTGTACCTCCTGTACATCCTACTAAATCAGACTTCTTTCTGTCCCCCTGCCTTGGGATTTCCATTAGCCAACTGAGCAGATTTATATAGCTACTATGGGTCAGAACCGACTCGACAGCACTTCACAACAAACATAACATACCTAGTGTAAGAGTCCTTGTGTGACACTTTAGGAAATGCACTAAATCACAAGAATGATTTGAATCACAAGGTTGGACTTTTAAACTCTAGTTAGAACCGACTCAAAAGCACTTAACAACAACATATTGCTTTTTTAAACTCACTGTGAATACCATTGTAATGAATAAGATGATATGTAACATTTGTAATGTTTTGTAATAGAGTTGCCTGATAACAAACATGGCTATTATCTTATTGTTGTGAATTGTTGTCATCTCTAAATTTTATTAGTGTAAAAACTCCCGTAAAGATTTACACCCTCGGAAACCCTGTACAGGGTCGCTATGGGTCGGACCCGACTCGACGGCACTTAACAACAACAACAACAAAAACTACCTTATTTGCTATATTGTATGAATTAAGAGAAGTTGATGATGGAAATATTTTTTAAAAGAAAAAATGTTCCTCTTTTCTTTTCCACGTTTATCTTCTTAAGATAATAGCGTTGTCATCATTTTCCCCCCAAAGTCACATAAGGTAGATATTCAATTATCCATTCCAAAACACAGAGGGGTCAGTAGGTAACAACCTTAGGTTGAGCAGGAGATAATAATATAATTCTGTATTTCTCAAAATACAGTCTTTGGGTCAGCTGAATCAGAATAGGGTATACTTGTTTTTTAGTATAAAAACAAACACCCAAACTCATTCCCATTGAATCTATTCCAACTAATAGTAACCCGTAATCCAGAGTAGAGTGCCTAAAGCATTTCAAAAGCTATAACCTTTATGAAACAGACTTTCTCCAGAGGAGTGGCAATAGTTTGAACCACCAACCTTTCAATTAATGTTGTTGTTGTTGTTGTTAAGTGTCGTCGAGTCAGTTTTGACCCATAATGACCTATATAGGGTTTCTGAGGAGTGACTGGTGAGCTTGAACCACTGACCTTGTGACCCAAACCGACCTTGCGGTTGAGAGCATTAACCCATAGTACCCTGCCAGGACTCAATCACTAGTCTACTGAATCAAAAGATCTTGAGTTATGGTCTGGAAAGCTACCTTCTGAGCACCTGTTCTTGCCAATGCTTCTGTTTAATAGTAAAATTAGAGACTACTCAATCTGATTAACTACATAATCATAAATAAGGCTGGTCTTTAGCTTGGCACCTATAATAGTGACCGTAGGGCAACCTTGGTGCTTTAGGATCAGCACTGGACTGCAAATCACAAGATCGGCAATTAGAACCCACCAGCTGCTACTTGGAAACACTCTACAGGGTCATTACGAGTCAGAACTGATTCAACAGCACTTAACAACAAT